AGAATGGCAAAACTCACTGATGATGCCGGTGAAACGTTTGAGAATGTACCAAGTTCACTGTCTGATGCTGGGAATCATGACAACGACAATGGCAGACGACTTCGGATTAGGTGCATTCAACTAAGTCGTCCTGACAGCAAGACCACGATGCGACAACGAGGCCAACCCACTTCTAAGAGTAATTTTGTTTATGGTGCCCTCTCTCTACATCCTTTTCATCTAGTACGATGCTACAATTATTAATCACCTTGGCAACCATGCGCTTAACTTGTTTCTTTCATTATTGATTATTACCCCTTAATAATAGCTTCCCTAAATAAGGAAAATTCACTATTTGTCTCTATTTAATTTATCATAACACCTTCCACATATCAGCAGGTACTTCTTCAACAGCTTCAGCTGCCGCACCTTTTGCCACAGACTCAGTTTGTTCCACAAACTCTGCTCCATCTTCCTGCATCCGGTCTCTCTACTCCGCCGTTTTCGGGTCTCCCTAGCCCGACAGGCCCAACTACAGTCAGTTCCACCACTCCTGCTGCTCTTGGGGGATGCAGTCTTCAATTTAGTATCCAGTCGCCGCATCAAGTGATTCTATCCCCGCCTCAACAACAGCGCCAGCAGCATCTTACGTATCTTACTCAATCCCCTACTGGAGTTCACTTGGTCGGCCTCCCAGGCTCTCTGAGCCTTCCCAACTCCGCTTCACTTTCTTCTTCCATGAATCCTGCCACTGCTATAGGCAACAACACTATCTTAATTCCACGCCAGCACTTTGAGACCTTTATAGATCTCACAGAGCCCTCTCAAACTGGTGATACTGCCTTAGGGACGTCTGCTCCTTCCGATGGGCTATTGGAGCCAGTACCTGCATCGAACCAGGTGTCCACTGTCAACGTTTTCCCAGACTTTTATACTCCAAAACGAGGTAGTTCATGCTTTTGTTTTCCTTCGCTCTCATCCCATTTATTCGTTATTTTTCTCTTTATATTATGATAAACCCCTTCATGTGTCTGAATACCATGATGCTATGGCACTTGGTTTGGTCTTACCATTCTTCCACTTTATTCAAGGGGTTGGTATCGTTTTTGCAATCTATCGTTTAATCATAAAGACCTATGAGAACCTCTTACTGCCATTTCTGTCATTGTTACCATGTGTTCCTAAATGGGACCGTTGACTGGATTCCTTCCTTAATATTTCGCTGAAGTCT